TCTCCACTACTTGCCACATGAATCATAAAGTAACTTTCATGAGTTCTGATTATAAAAAGGGTCGAGCATTCCTTTTTAAGAGATCCAAGTTTTGTACGTGGAAGAGCTTCATAGTTTTAGGAAGCATTGTTACTCATGTAAAAGTGGTAGTTTCTCACACTGAGGAACTACCACACCATTAGTGTAGGCCTATATCTTGTAACGCTTGAATCAATCTTTCCGGCATTATTTCAAAGCTCTATTCAAGTTTCAAGATTTATTTTATTCAAGTTTTATTCAAGGTCTATTTATTTGCAATTATTTTAGTTTCTTGTTCTTATTATATTGTTTATTCATTACAAATTTAAATATGCCTATGTTCATGGTTAATAATTAAAATTGCACGTTTATTTCGTTAAGTATGTTTGGATAAATAGTTTTGAGTTCAGCATGTGAGGACTATCGTTTCTGATGGGACTCGGTAATAAGTTGGCTTAATTATTTGTTTGAAAATTCAGTTTCGGTCTTTGTTTTTAAACTTAATTTAAATAGCTTTGTCATGAGAGTGAGAGGTTACTTAACACGATTTTTCCACGAGAATGGGAAATTAACTAAGGTTCGAGCCGACACTGCAAGAGCGTGGGGATCGAACCAAATAGTAGAAACTAGACATTAATTCTAAACACAGCGAGAGCGCTTTAGGATTAATTAGAACTTGTTCAGTTTTCAAAACACGTTCCTAGATTAAAATGAGAGAGCGGGAGCAAAATCTCATGGTTAAGGAATGTGGCTTTATTCAAAATCACGAGAGTGTGAGGTTCAATCTTTAAATTGATATTTTATACTAAACATATTTTTTACATCAGTATAAGCCAACGAGTTACAGAGTTCTATAGATACACAAAATACACATTCCGGTCTCTCTTTTCACATATATTTTCTTAATATTATTTTATTTCAGATTTAGTTATTAGTTTCCCCTAAATTAATTATTCATTAGCCTTAGCTTTATAAAGCGACAATAGATTACAGTAGGTTGACATTGGTCTCTGTGGGTTCAACAATATTTTATATTACTTCGATATTTTTGTGCACTTGCAGATGCATCACATTCCCTTTGCATAACCAATCCCTGTACCTAGATTCTCCTCCTCCTTTTTGGATTTATTCACTCTTTTCCCATTTCCTTTGGAAACAATAAAGCGCAATGGTGATTTTATTTGATTTGTGTGACTTAAGTCAATCCAATGGCTTAGTCTCAACATTTTTACCGCTACAGTACATAATGTATATGTTGTATAGAATTTGTAAATGAATTTGTAACTTTTCACTTGTACGTGTTTTGTGTTTACTTTCCATACTTGTGCATATATGTTTTTCTTTTTGTTCAAGTGATGTAAATATGAGTTGTCATCATGTTTGTTTATGCGTTGTTGTAATTTTTCTTATTTCGTAATGTTTGTTCAAGTGTTTGGTTAGGAAACTTGTTTTCTGGTTGGTCGTTGAAGAAAAGCACCGGGTGGTGTGAGGAAGTTACTAGTTAAGCACAATAAAGGCGTCGAGATGACAACGTAAAACAAGCGCTTGTTGGGAGGCACTCTAACATTAGTAAATTTTGTATAGTTTCTAATATTTTTGTTTGTTGGATGTCTTCAAATTTTGGTTTCTATTGGCTTGAAGAAGCATGTTGTGATTGCTCAAGTTTGACTATGTCAACAATGCAATTTTGTGGTAATGATAGTAATCGAAGATGGTATCATTCAAGGTACACATTTATTTATTTATATACCATAACATAATTAGGGAACTCGTAATTTACACAATTATCATGTCATTCATTCTTTTGCAATACTTGTTTTTGATTGAATCACTTTAGCTCCCAAACCCCAAATGTGATAAAGCTTTCCATTGTTCATATATGCAGGAGACCAAACTTCTTGTTAAAACTGGATTTTATTATGTTTAATCTTTTTTTTTTGTTGATTGTATGAAAGCATAAAAAGGATCAAGGCATTTTTTTGATTTTGAGCACAACCACTTGGCCAAAAAGTAACCTACCTTGTGAATGAGCGATAATTCTTTAACCCATTTGAGCCTTTTTATCAATATCCATGTTGCATTTGAACTTGATGCTTGTCTATGAGTATTTAGTTCACTTATTTTGAATGGATTTTGATCTTTTGTTTCTTGAACCCTCAACCATGATTTATGGTTTGAATTTTTACCTTGTCTTAGAAAGTAGGAAGTATTTACATTTTGATGTTGGTTGAATTCAATTTGGGGAGAGAATGATTGTTTAATTATTTGTTTGTTGCTATGAGGTTGAGAAAAAGAAAAAGAAAAAATGTGAAAAAGAAAATAAAAAGAAATAAAAAATAGAAAAGTTTTGAAGAAAAAAAGTATCAAATAATTATGCTAAATAAGTAAGGTGTTTTGGTGTAACAATTGGGATAAGAGAAAAAGTGTGATTGAAAATTTGGTGTGTAAGCATTTGTGATGTGATCACTCTCTTAGGTTTAGGAAAGTTTTTGTTTCAATTACCTTTAGAAATCGCTCCTTTTTTGTTAACCAAACCACATTACAACCCTTAAATCCCTTGTGATTCTTGCTTTTATATTTTCAATATGAGTTTTGGATGAATGCATAATTTAGTCTTTTGTTTGCAAGATTGTTGGATGAGAGTCAAGTCCCTCGTGTTTGTGTGTTTTTCATCGATCCCTTGATGAATATTTTCTAGGTGTGATTCATGATTTGATAATGTATTGTTTTTGATTGTTTGGTATGATTTTTTGTACTTAGGATGTGTTTCGTTTTCATGTTATCATTGTAGAATAGTGGTAAGTATTCTTTTGCATGTACATTATTGATTCTTGAACCATATATTTGTTTTCGTTTTTCTAAACTTGTTGATTTATGATTCTTGGTAATTGCTTTTTTCTCGTTAGGTTGATTGATTCTTTTTTAAGGACAAATATGTTTAAGTTGGGGAGAGTTTGATAAGTGCAAAATAGTTGTTATATTTGTGTATATATTAGTGACACTTATCGACTCATTTTTTTGTAATCCTTTAAATAAACCTCAATTTGTGTGTGTATTTGTACACATTGAGTATAATCTTGTTTTTGTGTAAATATTGTATCTTTTGATAGTTTTTCATCTCTTTTGTAGGTATTCATTCATAATTGGATTATCGAGTAATAAGAGCCAAATGCATAGCTTCAAAGATGCGATTTTGAGCAATCTATCAAATAATAATGCTAAAATAAAAGAATATGAAATCATTAATTTTATTTATATTTAATCATTGTTAGATAGAGCATTGAATAAGTTTTCCAACGCTTCCGACCGTGCGTAAATCAGAGTTACGACTCTCAAGTTATGGTCGAAACAAGCGCTTTTTTTGTTTGTTGTCAATTTTGTCGGGCGAGCTCAGGCCGATGTGAGCGCCCCTTGGTCATCGGGCGAGCTAGGAGTTCCCCAGAGGTGTAAAAATGCACAAAAAAATGTTTTGAGTATCGAGCGAGCCGTTTCATCGTCGGGCGGTGCCGTGTGGACACAAACATGTATCTTGGGCTAAAAACACATTTTTTAGGTATGGGTGTAGCAGTAAAAATCAGAGATCAAGCTATTAATTAACTTGACTCGCAAATCAGTAAGAGTCGCCACTGCACTTTATTATTTCCAAGAGAAAAGAGAAAAGTGTGAAATAAAACCTGTAAATATACAAAGTAAGTGCAATACTAAAAAGTAAAGAAAAATACAATACATTTGAAAGAGATCGAAGATTCGGGGGTTGGCTATACAAAGGGAAGGTACTAGAACCCTATGTATCTATAGTATCCTATAGGAACCTTTTGAAATATCTATTTTTTGGTTAAAATTGGTTTGCTTGATAAATGAGTGCGGGGATGAGATTTTGAAAATGCGACGACCTAGTGTCGAAGTTTTTGGCTTAAAAGAGGTGCAAGTTTTTTAAATTTAGGGTTTAGAGATTTGTTTTTAGATTAATAAAACTAAAAAAATATACAAAGGGGTTTTTGCACAATCGTATTAAATATATTCGATGACATGAAGTCAATGATTCGATTTTTTCTTTGGAGTTAGACGCAAATAAAAACATAAAGACTAAATTACCGACAAATGGAAATAAAACTAAATGACTAAATAATTAACAACCAAAAATTAAATTAAATAAAGAAAGACAAAATTATACTAATATACATTTTTTGGTATTTTTTAAAGAGGTCCAGAAAGAAATAATTATAAACCTAATCTATTTTTATATTATGCTTTTTCTGAATTTTTAAATGAAAGAAGGCAAAAAAACTTGAAAATTTGAAATAAGAAAATAAAAGTGCAAAATCTAGGACTTGGACCAAGGTTCTATGGGTTGTAACATAGTTGCCTTACCACTTGACAATGTTTACTTTTCTGTTATATAGACACCTTAATTAAAATATATAAAACAGAGTTTGGGTTAAAAGGGAATAAAAAGAAGAATAATGATAAAATTTCCCCAATGAGTTTCAAACCCAGGTCCCCACGCATATCACACACACACATACACACACACTCCAGCCACTACACCAAACTGATTCATTCATTAACTCACTTAATCAAAAACTATAAAATCAAAAACTTGTGAAATAGGTTGGGCTAGGCCCAAACCCGAACCGATCTAAGAGGGAAAAGATGAGTTTTTTTTAAACCCTAAGGACGGGAAAGGGGCGCCGAATCTCATATGGGGAAGGGGAAAGGTTGCAATTAATTTCTTTAATCCCTAATTAGGTGTCAATAAAACACGGTTCATCAATTATTGGGAAAGGAAAAAAAAACCTCATTCTCTCTCACGATATATGCTCCTCTCTCTCTTTGTTAACCCATTTGTTCTTCTTCATGCAATTTCCTTTCTTTTAATTCTAAACAATTATCAACAAAACCAACAAGACTCTCTCTCAAAATTTTCATTTTCTTCCTCACGATATACTCCCTATGCTTCATCTTTATATACACTTCTCTGAATGCAACATTTACGCGACGTTAGAGATGCTAGAATTTTGGCGATCCCTGTTGAGGAAATAAAATCCTTCTACTCTAACTGCAGCTGGTTTGATTCCAAAGCTCACCCTAGCACATCCGCCTTTGCGGATGCAGAGGTTGGCGATGGCAAACCTGATGGTGATGGTGATATGATTTCGTCTCTAAAACAAGCGTCGTGGACTAAGAGATTTGCAGCCTGGACCGGTGGAGACACACAAAAATATGGTGGAGATGAAGCTTCCTGATAAGCAAACTCATCCCCAAGACACCCTTCTCAAAAATCATGTCAAGTAGCTCAACCCCAGCTTCTGAATCAGAACACTCAGCTTGTTGATTGAAATGAAATCTGAATTGCCGCATAGGGACATTCGACAAGACCCCAACTTGACGTGTCTTTGGACAAATGAGAGGCTCCTTCTGATCTATAACTGTAACCAAACCTCTTTTTCAGATCCAACTCTTCTTTGTTCTGAACTATTAAGTCTTTGTGAGTGTTATTTGGCTCATGTTTGCAAAGTGTTTTTTTTTTGTGAATAAAAGTTACAAGAATTTTGTGATTAATGTGTTCATGGTTCTGGAGTTAGCTTGTTAGATTGATGATGAAGGTGTTTTTTTTAAGGCTTCAATATGTAGCTCTTTAGTTTTGGTCGGATATGAAATTTACAAAATGATATTGGTTATAATTAATATTTGTGTGGTACGAGTTCTGTGCTCGGAGAGAAAAACATATACAAGGGAGGTGAAAGTGTGTATAGTGTAAGCAGATCAAACATATATGTAATGGTAAGAAAATGATACCTGTCGGAGCCTCTTCGATGGAGCTTCAAAAGACAGTAAGTTTACATTTCTTCTTCTGTTGTTGCTTTTGCTTCTCTTTCTCTCTATTTATCAATATTTCTCTTGTGATTCCCCCCTTTCTACTGTTTATGTAACTTCTTTATATAGACATGAAGATTAGAATTTTTAGAAGGAAAATGAGATGTTGATGAATTTGAATGGATGTCTTAGATTGATTACTAAGTTTTATTACTTGTCATTCTTCTGATGTATTGTTTTTTTTATACTTTTGTTAATGCAGAATTATTTAACTACTTTGGGCATGTTTTGTACAGGGTGATTTGGCATTTGTGGACTATTTTGTAGCGGAGTTTTGCAGATTACAGGCAGGGTATTTTGGACAAGGAAAGGTCAAAATTTGAACCTTTTTTGCATTTATGAAGGACTGGAAATTTACAGCAAGTTTGGACTGGTGTGTGCAGGTTCTGGAGCAGCAAGGTGCAGGGGCAGCAACATGACTTTGCAGGTTTCTAGCAGGTTGGGACTGATTTTAAAGGCTAGAAAATGACAAGACTTGGTTTTCTCATGAATATGGTCACTGAGCACTTTTAGGGAAAGTGTTAGCTAGCATAAGTTTATGACTTGCAATAATCTCATGTAACTTTAAACATACCTTGAATTTGAAACTCAAACAAGTCTTGTAAGATCATGAATTTACTCAAAGTTTAGATTTGAAGTTTATGTAACAAACTCTCTTGATGAACTTAATATGTGAGGAACTTGAATCGAATCTTGTATTTGAATAAAGCTTGGAAATTTGAATGAAGTTCATGAATGCCTTTCCTTGAATTCCAAATAGTTCACATGAATGAATTTTTTTCAAATATATCAAACTTGTGCCATAAGCATATTGATCCTTTTGAATATCTTGAACCAAAGACAAATTCATATGAATTATTTATGCCTCACATGCTTGAATTAAGGTGAAGTCAAAAGAATTATTTGAATGGATCCTCGAATCTTCTTCATTAAAATCCATATCTTCAAATCATAGTAACTTGAAATACGAGCCAATAATATAAATCTTGCCTTTAAGAACTTTAGTCAAAATCAAATTTCGATCCAATAATCACTAACACTCAAACACGAGTGACTTGAATTATAAGCAAATGGATAATCAAAGAATCTTCAAACTCAAAAATCTAGTTTCATGAATGATCTCATCATAAGAATCACCATCTTTGAATAAACGATTATGGCATGAATTGAAATTAGAAGTTAGGAACATTCTAAATAAATAAAAATGACCTATAATGTTTCAAAAGATTCCATGGCCTTCTAAGCATAATTTTACTTCGATCTTTGAAGAAATTTAATAAACAATGCTATTTGTGATACTTCGTAAAAGAATCGCCTCAAAATGTCGAGAATCGAAGAAGTTATGATTCGTGGAAGTTGAGCACAACTATTTTGAAATTAGGTCAAATTCCACATGATGATCTCTAAAGTATTCGGACTTTTGATGATCCTCCGCACATAATCAAATCTTGATTGGTAAATAGGAGTTAGAGATGACATCATGGAGAGTTATATGCAAAAAGAACCATTAAAAATATTGAATAATGAAGAAGCTATGATCATTTGAACTTGATCTTGCAAAAAGTTGACTTTTGGTCTAAGTGCTTTGAATCGACTTGCAAACTTGATCTTTCCTTGCATTCCAAGGCATATTGATGCACATGTGGACCAATAATGACGAAATCTTGACTGTACTTTTGAGAATCGGTGATCCATCATACTTGAACAATTAAGGGATCCAAAACTCTAATTGAGGCACAACACCTGACGCTCTTGATTAAGACCTGTCTCTGCACGTGAAACCAAAGAAACCCAAACATACACCTTCGTATGGGATTAGATGTTAGTGGTGCATAAAAGATCTGCAAAAATTGATAGTCTTTGTATAAGCAATGCTCGAAGGTGAGAAGATCAAAAACCAACTGTATCTCGTGACCTTGATGCTTTATGAAAATGCAAATGAAGGTGGGATCTTAGGTAAAAAATTGGGGTATGGCAGCTGCCCCTATTTAAGTTTCTTCTATTTGGAGATATGAAGATTGAAATCTTCTTTTCAATGAGATTGAAGATACTTAAATATAGAATACACAATTTTTGATCCTAAGATGTCATAATGATGTTTATGATATGATATGGATGCAATGCTCTGAATTTTATGGGGGGTGATGCCACATGAGATAAACTACTGCTGGAGAAACCAAGCACATGATAAAGTAATCCTACAGGGGAAGAGGTTATAACTCTATTGGGGAACAGAGCCACAAACTTCGAATGAGATACTCTTATTGGGGAACAACTTCGAGAGAAGAAAAATAATCACTGACTCTATCAGGGAAGATGCCTTGCATAGTTTGTGAAAAGATAAATGGCTACTGACTCAAGATGGTGGTAAATTTCCAACTCAGTGTCGAAGGTAGAAAATCAAAGAGATACCGTCTCACAGATGACGATAAACTACCAACTTAATAGTTGAAGGTAGAAAAGTAAGAAATACTGACTCACAGATGATGGTAAACTACCAACTCAATAATTGAAGGTAGGAAAGTAAGAGATACTGACTCACAGATGACAGTAAATTACCAAGTCAATAGTTGAGGGTAGAAAAATAAGAAATGCTGACTCACATATGACGGTAAACTACCAACTCAATGGTTGAAGGTAGAAAAGTAAGAGATACCGAGTCAGGATGATGATAAACTACCAATTCGATAGTTGAAGGTAGAACAATACCAACATTTATTGATGGTAAAGGAACAAAAGACACACCGATGTTTATTGAAGGTCAATTACCGACTTTTATTGAAGGTAGAGAAACAAAATATACACCAACTTTTACTGAAGGTGAACTACCGACTTTTACTGAAAGTAGAAAAACAAAAGATGCACCAACTTTTACTGAAGGTGAGCTACCAAATTTCCATGAAGGTAGAGATAAAACATGACACAAACGTTTACTGAAGGTGAACTACTGACTTTTACTGAAGGTAGAAAAACAAGATGCACCACCTTTTACTGAAGGTTAATTACCGACTTTTACTGAAGGTAGAGATAAAAGATGACACCAACGTTTACTGAAGGTGAACTACCGACTTTTACTGAAGGTAGAAAAACAAGATGCACCAACTTTTACTGAAGGTGAATTACCAACTTTTACTGAAGGTAGAGATAAAAGATAACACCAACGTTTACTGAAGGTGAACTACCGACTTTTACTGAAGGTAGAAAAACAAGATGCACCAACTTTTACTAAAGGTGAATTACTGACTTTTACTGAAGGTAGAGATAACAGATGACACCAACGTTTACTGAAGGTGAACTACCGACTTTTACTGAAGGTAGAAAAACAAGATGCACCAACTTTTACTAAATGTGAACTACCTACTTTTACTGAAGGTAGAGAAAGATAATAAACCTTTCCACGACGAACGGGTTCAAGTTTCTTCTTAATCAAGTCTTCCACCTGATAAGGATAATATACAAACTTCCCCCATGAGACTTTTCTGGAGAGATACCATTTACTGAATAAACCTCCCCAAGAACCTGGCCACAAGCCACAAACAGGTCTCCATTTTCTGATAATAAACCTCCCCAAGAAGCCGGTCATAAGCCACGAATTGGTATCAATTTCTTCTTAATCAAGTCTTCCACCTGATAAGGATAATATACAAACTTCTCCATGGGACTTTTTTAGAGAGATACCATTTGCTGAATAAACCTCCCGAAGAACCTGGTCATAAGCCATGAACTGGTCTCAGTTTCTTCTTAATCAAGTCTTCCACCTGATAAGGATAATCTACAAACTTCTCCACGGGACTTTTCTGAAGAGATTCCGTTTGTTGAGTAAACCTCCCCAAGAACCTGGTCATAAGCCATGAACTGGTGTCAGTTTCTTCTTAATCAAGTCTTCCACCTGATAAGGATAATATACAAAATTCTCCATGGGACTTTTTCGAAGAGATGCCATTTTCTGAGTAAAAGTATGATTGAAATACACAAGCTACTCAAATAAAGAGGCCGCCACTTGCTGCCAGGAAAAAGATTTCAATATAGTGTTATAAAGACACTGTTGGAAATGAGAATCAATAACTTCAACAAGGATAGATAAACTGCTGATGAATAGACTGTCATTTTCCATAAAAGAGGAAATCCATAAGTAATCAAGCCGCTCAATTAAAGAGTATTCCACTTGTTATCATGTCTAGATTCCAAAAGAGTGTTGCAACAACACTACTGAGGAACAAAGTTCATCGTCAATGGGGAACCATGAATAGAACCTTCCCAAGGATACAAAAGTATTTACAAGCGCAAAATAAATGCACTCTCAATCTAGGTTTCACAGCCTAGAGAAATCCACAGGGTAACATCTTCAGGAAGCGAAGCTCAATCCAAG